CAAAGAGGCATATGACAGGCATATGAATAATTCAAAATGTATGCCTGTTTATCATAAAAACGTCTGTATGAGATAAAAAGTGGTGTTAGGTGCTCGTGAGAAATGGACAAGCAGTGTCAAAATTGTAATACTTGTTATTTCACACCACAAGTTACTCTTTAGAGCTTATTGTAAAATGATATTGATTGTTTAGAAAAGAAGACATGAGCAGCAACTTGTGTACCAAAATGTTACTAGACATTTCAAGGTTGTCGTTTTTGACTTCAGTGTAACATACAAGAATTAATGCGACTATAAAAACATTTCCCCTTGTCTCTAGTTGCCTGCCAGCACAACATGGATAATTATTGTATATATTTTTATATTTAAGGGCATATTTACCACAGGGAAACAAAAGTCTTATTCATATTCTTTTGTGGAAACAGAGAAGAGTGTTCCCAAAATGGCTCATGTTTTGACACATTGTGGTGAATAACTAGGCAGGTTTCCGATACTCTGTGAAATGGTAACATCACAAAATGACTTGCTGTGTGCTAAACCGTGTTGAGCAGGAACGCTCACTAGAAGTGGTCGGGCATAATTTGTGATGTAGCCTGAGGTGGGGATTTCAGTGCTTATGTTTTGCTGAGGGCAGACTAGAAGTGTGTGACGCCCACACAATCACTACAGGCCAATTTCTGTCTCTACATCCAGCCTGCTGCAATTGATTTTCTCCAAATTGTATATTTTGCTGTTTCCCCCTGCGTTTTTATGTTTTTGTAATTTATACTATTCTTTATCACAGTTTCAGCCACTTCATTTTTTGCTATTACCAGCCCATAAAGATTAAAACTGATATGAGATAAAATAACAAGTGACAAACTGCAGACCAACTGAGATCATTTCTTTAGCTCCGAGGGAGATGCAACAACAAGGGAAGCATATGATAAAATTGAAATGGGATCCAACCTCAGGTGTAAATGTATTTCACAATATTAATATGAAATAAGGTGGAGGGGGAGTGGTTTAGTTTGCCCAGTTTTTTTTCTTCTCCCTACCTCGGGGTAAATAGTTTGAGCTATAGTTTAAACAGTTAACATAAAGTGAGGACAAGATCGGGCCGATGCCAGATGCTTGCTTTATTACTTTGGCCAGTGGCCAGTGACTCACTGAATATTCACTTACACTTGTCAAGAGGAAACAAGGCTATTCTCAGATAGCCATTGTAATCAAGAGATTTGAATTCATCTCACATTCAGCTGGTGTGTGGTGCACAACTCTATTGGAAAGGACTTCCTGAGCTATCAAAGTTGAGGAAAGATGGTGATCGTGCCTCAGGCGAAATCCGACTGTATGCAGCGATCAGCCCTAAGCAGCTCTGTTGGCGGCCGTCCAAGCTACGCTAGCCAATGACTCACCTCTCTAAGAGCTCCAACCACAACAGCCAGCATCTCCTCAATATTCCTGATTAAACCTGAATGCTCACTCTGCTCGGGTTGGCCAAAAAGGCTTTTATTATTTTCTTTTAATCTATGCCAAGGGACGTAACTGGTTCTGTTTAAGTGTACTGCTTTAGAAATGCAGAAATTTAAATTGTTATGTTGCTCATCAGAAACATAAAAAGACTGAATTTGTTTTACTTGTATGTTGTGTTGATTTGTGATTGACACTATCAAAAAAAAATACATTTATCTGAATATAATTACTCTCAACTGGAGGCTTCATCACAATTATTAAGAGACATGTTTGTAGACATCTTAATCATTAGTGTATGTTTGTATCTACAGTGACTGACAATAAGTGAGAAAAGATGTTTAATATCTGGCACAAAAACACTGGAGGAGGAGACGGGTAATAATCGGTTGTCTGACTTAAAGATATTAAGACGTTGTAGGAATTAAAAAAGCAACACTTTGGTTAGAGGGCAGCTGTTTGAAATCACTACATCAGGCTCATCTGTAATTATAAAGGCTTAAAGCTGCCACATCCATTGATATTATTCAGCCGCATGGGCTGCTTCAGTCATCTACACTGTTTTCCAGCATTGGAGTGGTCATGTTGATCAGTGGAGGACAACGAGTCATGAAAAGCTTAAGCACTTCATACATTCATAACTCTATATATATATATTATATATATATATATATATATATATATATATAATATATATTCATAACTATATTCACAAATATGTTTTCAGTGAAATATATTTATTCATAAATACGTAGAATAAATTACACAGAATGCTGTATCATAGTTTAAAGGTAGGGTTGGTAATTTGTGTCTGAAACATTTTTTTATCTTTTTTTATTTTTGAATCCTTTTCACGTTCTGATAGCCATCAATAAATACATTTGTCTGAAAAAAAAATTGAAAAAAACTGTTATGTAACATAATGCTCTACTATTCACCTCATGACCATCAGAACAGAATAAATAAATAAAATAATTGCCGCCATGAAAACTTTCCAGATAGTGTTGTCTCAGAGTACAACAGCATATTTGTATATGAGAGCATGCCAAGCAGAGCAGAGGATGATCAGGAAAGGTCGATAGGCCAATTCATACTGTGTGGAACCCAGCTTCCAGCTGCTATTTCACTGAATACCACTCTCAGTGACAAGTGTTGAAGTGATGCTTCTCTGTTAAACTCTGTAGAACACCTCACACCCATGAATTCATATAATTAACAGTACAGTATTTGTGGCCTGTGACTTCAGAGGGCTGATCTGGAGAAAATCATCTGTTTCACTTCTACTGCTCAACATTTAAAAGTAGCAGATATACCACCCTCTCCACTGTAAGTGAAAAAAATAGCCCATGAAATAGAAATGATAGTTTAATTCATGGTGAGAGGCTCCATGTGGATAAAATGTGATTGTAACTTAGTGAACTGGCTGAAAGTGCATTTTATGTAAGCTACAGTAGGTGACAGTTCAAGCAAAACGCAGGAAACGGCTTCAACTGACTAAAGTGTTTGAGGAGGAGGCAATAAAAAAAACAGAAAAAGGCCGTGATGTACTGTTTTTTTTTTTTAATCGAGTTCAACACTAAATTTGCTGCAGGCCAGTAATATGAGCATATATTTGTCTGTATCTCCATATGTGCTTTTTTATGATGACTGCATGCAAATCTGTATCAAATGAACCAAAAGATTTGCATGGATGCTATTTTGAAAATGAGATTTCCAAGCATCCACTTATTGGATGGAAATGTCGCAATATTACAGCACTCAGGCCAAGCTGTGGCAACACATGCACAAGTGACTTTGACCTGGATGTCATGGTTAATCACACACATTAAGTGTATTTGCTCATTGAAAGGACCAGTTTCAAACAGAGACAAAACCTTGACATTGATGTACTTGACGCAGAATGTGCATTACAACAAAAAACGAGTACAAGTACTTTTCATGTTTGAAGCACAACAGATTTAACTTGACACAATAAACAAAACAGTCACTGTCTAACTTTGTATTGCAGTTGTAGACTTATTTGCTTTTGACGATTTTGAAAAACAACTCTTCAAAAATCAGAAAATGCTATTTTCAGTACTAAACAAAGACTTGTAACCGTGTAAGAGGTCATGAGAAGTCTTTTTATGCCTTCTGGACTGTTCATACTCTTTTAAGTGAGAAGACCCATATATAATAATAGCACTATACCTTTTCTAAAGATGTATTTATTTATCTATTTACAGATCTGTCCCCAGAGCATCGCAGCAATTGGCAAAAGAAAAAAATCATTTTATTTCTCAGTAACTGCAGCTCCGTTTTTTTTTTTGTGGCCCCTTCATATTTCGACCGGAATAAACTTGCAGTTTAGACAAAGGTTGTGATTGCTCTGCCAACTACTGCTGCACACACACCAGACACAGAGACATGGAGACCGAGGGCTATTGTGTCAACCAGCCGACCAACCAAATTTATATTGAGTTTACCACTTACACGTTTGGTTCCATGGGGATAATTGTGTGGGGACAAAACAAGTCCTCGATATAGCCTTTCCCCTTGATACTTTGTACAGAGAACTCCCAGAGACCACACACTTATCTCATTTTGCATTCAGAGCATTGTTGCTCATTAATTTATTATAAAGTACTCTCAAGTAGTGTTCAAAGTTCATCTGTTTAATTAGACAATAGAGTGTTTTCAACTAATTTTCCCATTAAAGTGGAGAAGACAAAAAGACCCTGATAGTTACAGGAAAAAAGAAAATACAGCCTTTAGAAAAGTGTCTCAACGGTTAAAGTCCTGTGAAACTGGACCTTCACAGATAAAGAGAGAAACCTATCGAAAAGCCATTTCTGACTCAAATAAGCAAATAGAAAGAATAAAAGACAACATGTAGAATAGATGTTCTGCTCCTAACTCTTGTTACAGCAGCAGAAAGGTGAGTATCACAGCCAAGAGAAGTTGACTTTCATTGTCTCAAGAGCTTCACGTGTCCTGTGTTATGATCAGATGTATATGAATGTTCCCATACACTGTATTGTGTTGTGCCTGCATTTCCACCTGCATGAGTGCATCGTGTGAGAGCATTAATAGACATTAGGATATGAATCTATATCACACAGGCTGGATGCAACTTTATGCCATTTAATTGACATAATTCAGACCACAGTAGCACGTAAAACTAAGAGGGGTCTTTGAATCAGCAAAGTGCTTGTAATGTAATAAGCACTCTGTTCTAAATGGAGCCTTGACTCCATTTAAAAGAGGGCAGAAAATATGTGTGCACTCTTGCTTAAGGCTTTCATCTTGCATATAAATTACTCCAGCTGAAAGTGGGTGTTAAAGCACCACAGATTTCAGGTCTTAGGGCGTGCACTGTATCACTGGCCAAGGCTGCATTAATGACAGAGCGGTGCCAGGGCTGCGTGAAGTAAATTAAGCCAATTCCAAATAATCGGAGCGCAGATAAAATGTTGAAACTGAGACTTTTTTGGCACTCTCAGAAGGCTTATGTGTGCTTCTGTTCTTTTTCTCTCTTCTTCTTGTTTCTGCTTTCTGCCTCTGTTTAGATCCCACAGCAGCTGAGCGCTCTGACATTGTACAGGTGTGAGCAGTCACTTCTGGATTACTGCCATGCCCACCTGACGCTGCAGCTCAACGTGGGCATGGAGCCCCAAACTCAGGCACCGGGAGGTCTGGGGCCAGCCAGGTGCCTCCCCTCCAAGCCTGTGCTGCCTTGCCCTCAGACCTACTCCCTCCACCAGTGAGCTGTGCACACTGTGATGCACTGTGTCCAAAATTCTATTTCTTGTGCTGCACAGAATCAGTAGGCCACCCAAATGAGACAAAGGCTGCGTGGGAGGGAACTGGGACCGGTACAGAAGCAAAAGAGACAATTAATGCAATGCAGAGCATCCTGAAACTAGGGTAATGAAAATGAAAATATTTCTCAGTGGAAATAAGTGGATAGAGCGGTATCGATTAGTGAGCATATGACCTGTTTGACCCGCAATGTCCTCAATTAGTAAGGGGGCTGAACAGCAGCATGACTTTCCACGTTCTGCTCTGCCTCTTGATAAGTATTAAGAATAATAATTGAATTTTTGGTTAATCTCATTAAACATATTTCCTCAACCTCTCCTAATCTGGGTACCTCTTGGCTAAGTCAGGTAAAGTAATCAAATGCAAAATGCTATAAACAGAGCGGGGAAACAGCACGATAAGCAAATAAGTAGCAGAACAAATGAAAGATCAGCCAAGCTAAGATGTTTTCTGCTGCTTTTTCTAATCACGCTGTCAGTAAGAGGTCTCTCCCTGACTCAAGTCCCTGTAGCGTTTTTCAACTTGAGAAATGAGCCACTCAAATGAAATTACCCAAGACAAGAGAAACGAGTCAGAAAATAGTGGACACTAATTGTCAAATACAATGTACAGCCTATACATCTTGCCAGCAGTAAGTATAAATTACATGGTGACTTTTGATTTCTTTAATGATTTGTGATGTGGATCACATTATGAGTCATTTAATCAAGCGGAGAAACAGATCTTGCTGCGCTGGAACGTGCAGATATTTACTTTTCATCAACCATTTTAATCACTCTTGTAGTTTATGGTTTTTGTTTTTGAAAGTGTGATATTCATTCAATTATCTGATTGTGCACTCATATACCCATGTGCGCTTTTTATGAGATGTTATATGATAATTTTTGGTAAATAAACTGTGTTAAGTGATCAGTAACAGTATCTTTCATCATGATCAGTGGTATCAACCCAAACAACTGTCTGCTGTATTTAGACAGCTGCGTAGGTGGCTGGAGTGACTGAAGAGCACAGCCCCGAAGGCAAGACTGTATAATAATGATGTCTGGTTTTTGCCTGAGTGATCAAGACCCTGATGGTAACTTTCACTTGCTTCTTTCCTCCTCCTGTGACCTTCTGTGACTGTTATCTGATGTTAAGAAGTGTATTCAACTCATGGGCTTTTATACCAGGGAAGCAATTAAGGTTCTGGGTATTAATAGACAGTAACTCCATGTTCTTCACACATGCACAATACAGTGTGCCATGAAAAGCTAAAAGATAAAATTTGTCAGCAGAGAATTGACCGCTAGCTAAACCACTCCCATGAACAACAATAGTCAGTCATAGCAGATCTTTCAAGGTTTGAATGTCTGCACATGTTGAAACATCGTGCCTGGAGCTGTAATACACCATATTAGAGTAAGAAAAGTTCTATTTTTGTTTTAGAAAATTAGCAAAAATGTGCCCAAAATACATTAAACTGTGTTTTTATCTGCTCTGTTATAAACAAAAGTGTTAGCATGCCTGGCTAAATAGCTTATTAGCTAGACAGGTACTGATCATACTTCAGAGACCAAGGGGCTTTTTATTAGTTAACTAAGATGGGCTCTACTTCCTCCCTCCATTCAGAAATGAATTCTGTCATCTTGTACCAAGGACATCATTTGTAGCCAGGGTCTACGCAGTTGCCTAACGATCAGGTGATGGAGCTCGTGGTAGTGAGCTCACGTTGATAAACTTGCTTGACGAATCAAGTGTCAGTCTTATCTATCAGTCATCATGTTTCACCCCAATAGCTTCAAATATCAAAATAAAACCATATGAAATAAATATGAGCATCTGAACAAGCATCAGTGTTATAGGAGCTACCTAAAATAAAATAAAATATTTTAAAAAATGTATTTGATGTGTATTTTGACTTTTTAGTTTGGTCCATGTCCCATCTACTAGTATGGAGGAGGCAAGGTTTAGGGCCTATACTGCAGGCTGCCCCTAGGTGGCAGTTGAGGCCTTTTGGCTTCAGTTTTGGAAGATGTCACGTTGTCCATCTTTTTAACAGTGTATGAATTTAGCCACTGCATGGTGGCCAGTCTTGGATGGTGATAGTGGGGTAACGTTAGTAGCTCTGTCCTCCTGGGGTTTATCAGCAGCTGTTGTGCTGTTGGATTTGGGGACATTTTACAGCTACATTTACCAAACCTTTTACCGTTATTTTTAGCACTGGCCTCTTATGAAAACGCTTTTAAGGGTTAAAGTGACACATACTCACACAAGTTCAAAAATACAATCAATAAAGCATAAATCTAACTGATGTCTTGATGTCAGTTTGTAATAAAATACCTAATACATTGAATTTGTGACTGTGTATACAATCATAATCTTAATTGCCATAACATTTAAATGATGCTAACAACAGTTATCATTTCAACAGGGAAAACCAATATTCACCATAACAACG